AAAAACAACAGGTTTTAATTTTTCATTATTACCATGTGAAAGTGTATTAGGTATTTCACATCCTTTAAGTATACATGCATGAAGTTTAGCGAGATTTCGACTACGATGTTCAACTTTAAATGGAAGTTTACCCATTAACATAGCAAACATATTTACACCAATACTCCATACATCAACAGCTGGACCATATTCTTGATGAGCAAAAATTTCTGGAGCTGCATAACTATATAAAGATTAGAATTTCAATATTAAATTAAACTTTTTTCTTTTATAAATCTTACGCTGGAGAACCACATTGAGTTGTTAAAAAACCTTTTTCATCAAGACAATTGCTCAGACCAAAATCTATATGAAAAACAAATGATTTTTATTATTTAAAATCTCTAACAAAAAAAAAGATTTTTCTTCACCAATAATAACAATATCACTATTTTGATCAAGCATAAAATTTTGAAGTTTTATATCTCTATGTATAACACGCGCACGATGCATATGTTCAACAGCTGAAACAATTTGTCGAATATATTTTCTAGTTTCATTCTCATCTAATTGTTTCCTAAGAGAAGATATATTTGTTTTTAATAAAATTAAAATATTTCATATGTTTGTTTTTTTTTTTCGTCTTACTTTTTTGTTAAATATTTGACAAACTCATTTCCTTGTACTAAATCCATAACAATATAATAGGAATTTTCTGTTTCCATAACTTCATGTAATTGTATTATATTTTTATGCGACATACGTTGCATCATTGATGCTTCGCGACGTAGATTAGTTCTTAAATAATTTCTTTTAAATACTTCACGTTTATTAATAACTTTAACTGCAACCTAATAGAAACAAAGAAACAAAAACAATATAGTTCATAGGTTAAAATGTCAGAAAACAACATGTTTTGTCTTTTTTCTTGTTTTAATCCCATTGAAAAACTTAAGAAAAAAACCGCTACGCAATTCAGTACCATGTGTAGAAAAATAATAGAAAAAAAAGAAAACAAATCGTTTTTTTTTATAATTTGATCTATATCAATTACACTTACTTTCATTTCTGTAATAAGATGAACACCCAAACGTACTTTGGCAAAACTACCTTCTCCAATTGTTTTTAAAATGATGTAATTTCCTACTTTTTTTCGTTTTTCATCTGGGGATGTATCACCTGTATCAACTGTTGATGCTCTATCAGGTGTCGCCGCATTATGTAAACCTTGTACCATATTTATAAAATAAGAATAAATTGAATGATACGCAAGTGTAATCCAATGTCAAAGTAAGGCCTAGAAAATAAGAAAATAGAATGGAATACAACTAATTATTTTATTTATAATTTAATATGGTAAACTAGCGGAAAATAATGTTGAACACAATATATTCATTATTAAAAGAAAATGGATGCATACAGATGAAAAAAAAACAAGAGTTTTCTGAAAATGACGATCTTCACCATATCTATTGAAAAGATTTGTATAACTATCATATGTAAAGACATGTATTGATAACAACAGTTGTTTTTTAAAATATAAGAATAGACAAATAATAAAAAAAAAAGAATATTTATAGCTGTTGGAAGTGCGTTATTCGCAATTGAAAAATTTTATGCTTATTTTTTTATGCACAAAAAAAATACAATGTATGAATGGACAAATTTAAATTTAGAAAAAAATCTTTCAATGAATTTCTTGTATTGTGTTATAATTCTTTCTTACTATGAAACGTACACGAATACAAAATATTCATATGTAATTAGCTTCAGTTAGTTCTTTTCGTTCTCTAGAGGTGTCATTAATCATGTACCTGTCTATTGTTTAATTCTTCATAGACAATATCTGTAATATTAATGATGACAATCATCGATGGTAAAAATGATTACGATACATATAAGAAGTAATGAAGATTGTTTCATATATTAGTATTATTATTATTAATGAAAGACTTTTTGTATGTGTATGTGAGACGTGTGTTTGTATGTGTACGTATGTATGTACGTTTGAAATCACTGGGAGAGAGAGAATAGAGCAACAAAAAAAAATGACGGCGGCCAACGATGTCGGCAGTATAAGTTGGATGACTTCTTGCATGTTGAAATTTCTCGTCATCATAAAAGTACAATGGAAAGACAGAAGAAAAGAGAGGACGAACAATCAAGAAATCCGTGTAGTCGCCACTATAGTATTGATTTCACTGTCCTCTTTTTCATTCATTCTCATAATGCTCATAGTTGAGCTTCCTGATACTTTTTTTTTCATGATCCATTGAATCTTTATTGTACAGAATAAACAAAGCTTGAATTGTACAACAGATGACGATAGAATAAAAAAGAAAAAAAAGAAATCAAACGTCTATTTGAATCCTTCTAGTTTTAATACTTAATTGAGAAAAAAAAAGAAAAAAAACATGCTAGATAAAAAAGAGAAAGTCGGAAAAATCTGTCTATCTAATAGAGTTAAATCGAAAAATAAAAACTCTTCAATTACTATTACTATCCTTAATGATCATATCCTGATAAAAATAAAAATCCTATGCATACAAATAAATCATCACCTGATTTTGGATGTCTTTTTCTTTGCACTACAAACTTTTGAAAAACATATTTAAGATTTAAAATTTTACTTTTCCTTTTAAAGTTACTTATTGAAAGTTACTCGTATAACTATAACCAACTTCACATGGAAACAAACACACCTGCAATGTTTTGCTTTTGCAAGCCACTACCGTTTGTTTATTTGGCACTTGTCTTCAATCTCGTATTAAAGCTTAAAAAATAATAACTTCTTTCGTTATTTTCATTGCTTTCTTTTTACTTCGCTCTCTCACACACACTCTCTTTCTCTTTTTAATGTTATTCTTTATTCTTAGCAAAAAAGAAAAGCTGAAAAAGATCACCATGAGTTTGTAAGTTCCGATAAAAACAACTCTCGTACATTTGTCGGTTGTTTAAGAAACAAATTCGGGTTCAATATGACGTCTATATGTATACATTAACATATAGTTCAATGATTCTTACCATTCTCATAAGATGAATAGATCTACAGCGTATGCACATAATGTACAAGTAAATGCGAGTAAATTGTTCATGGATTCGACAAACAAAAGTCAGTTCACTTATTTACTCCTACGCTTACCTATTTTCACTAAGTAAGAAAGGCAGACAGAAGAGAGAAAAAAACTAAAAGAGAAAATGACGCAGTGAGATGAATAAACAAACAAATCGAATATGATCGAACGAACAGAGCATGTGTGCAACATTGTACAGAACACTTTAACCACTAGTATTCAAGAAGTAATCTCCCTCGCATCCAACTATTGTATACACAACATAATCACTCTTTCGATATTTTCTCTTGCTCTATCGTCGTTATGATCGATAATTGATCAATAAGAATGTGCATGTGTATGAACAGACTAAATAAATAGATTGACTATTGACGAAAAATTTGTTGATTTAAATGAATGTCATTTGGTACATAGATGTCAAATATGTTACAATTGATTATTATAGTTATATAAAAAAAAGAACTGTGACAGAAATATTGACTATCATTTGAACTGATATATAAAACAAGGAATGTCAATCATTCTGATTGATTCTACTCGTTTTAATCAATCGACTTTTTGCTTAGTGATAAGATTTATGTACACTTGTGTTCAGTATGCCAATAGCGAAAAGTAAATTTTTACTTACCATTAAAAAGAAATGAAGTGAAAAAAAAACAGATTTATAACTGTAAAGGAACAAAAAAAAATAAACATTTTACTGAGAAATTTTCTTCTATTATATAGTGCGTCTAAAAAAATCTTATGTGGTTTCTTTCCAATCACTCGACAAATTCAATAGTCATCTGTTTTTCGATTTGGTCTTTGCTTCGAGTTTTTGTATTACTTTTCTAATCGTTTATTACAATCAGTATATAATCACTTGGGAATGACTATTTGTTGTGAAGATTTTAATTAATAAAGTTAATATTATTTGTTTGTTTGTTTATTTATCTTATCATAATACTGACTAATTGTGACTTAATTATTTCTTCAGGTATGGACGACTATGAACTGCACGATTAAAATTAACTTATCAATAAATTAAAATGATAAGAAAATGCAAATTCACAGTGACCTATGTTCAATACTCCGTCATTATATTATTTTCAATTTCGTTTAGTATTTCCGCACATTGCTATGAAAAGGTTTGTAAATAATATCCGACATTTCTATTATTCCTAAGAAAAAGCGAATTGATCAATCTTCTGAATGTTTATTTTCAAATTTCTAATAAACAAATACTCATTACTTCTATTGTATTTTGAATCAGATACTAAATTCGTTCATTGTCTTATCTAATTTAATAGCTATGTCATAGCGATGAGATCTTGAATAAATATTATAATATTTATTATTTTTATTATATTTGCAACAATGATTATTGTAAACATATTTCGACAATATATTTTAGAAAAAAAATTCAAATATATCTAGAACATCATTATTTCAATAATCTATTCACCAAAGTCATTTTTTCTTGTCTTGTTGAACTTCGTAACAAGTCAAATATATAATAAATTATGACATTTTATCGAGATCGCATCAAATTCAACGAGAGTCATTCGTATCGAGAATGTTAACTGAAATGCTAAACGATGTTCTAATGTTTATTATTAATGTCAATCGAAGTCATTGCAACAGCTGATCTATTCTATATTGATTATATTTATATATGTAAGATTTTTACTAATTAGAATATGAAAAAATAACAATTATTGCGTTTAATTTATTTCCTTATCATTCCTTTTTATTTTAGTATTAAAAAAAAACAAAACTTCAACCCTGTAGAGGTGATCTCATCTTGTCATTTCATTATGTTATTAGAATAAAGAATATGATGGAAAACCCAAGTAGTATAATCATTTACTTGAATATAATTGCTTGCTAGAAAAATAAACAACCTCAACATGTGCTTATGAGTAATTTAGAAGAAATTAAATCTGGTAGAGTAAAATAATAGGTATAATGATAATGATCTTAGGTGGTATTCTTGATGATTCTATTCATTGTAAAAGTGACATTGTTGAAAAATTGTGAAACTACTCATCAATTAAAATGAATCACACTGTTTGAACGATGAATGCTTCATTCAATATTGATTTGATGAAATTTTACAGCTCATCTCAGGTAAATGATTTTTAACAGAAATTTACAAAATGTAGAGCTTTGC